AGCCTAAATAACAAAATGGGGGAACTAGAGGCATTAGCATACACTAAACAATATGATATAATAGGCATAACTGAAACATGGTGGGATGAGACACATGACTGAGCAGCTAACTTAAATGGGTACATGTTATTTAGGAAGGATAGGAAAAACAAGAAGGGTGGTGGGGTATGTTTGTATGTCAAACATGATTTAAAGCCAAATGTTAAGCAAATGGAATGCGAGGAGGATAATGTGGAAGTTTTATGGGTAAATATCTGCTTGGGGGAAAAGAAGGGAAACCAACTATTGGTTGGGATATGTTATAAACCACCTAATGTTAATATTGACGAGGAACAACAGCTGTTTGAGCAAATTGAGAAAGCTGCAAATCTGGGTAACACTTTAATAATTGGAGATTTTAATTACCCGGATATAAATTGGGACAGAGGGAATAGTGCCTCAGCAAAGGGAATTAGGTTTTTAAACTTGTTAAATGACACCTTCATGTCACAACTTGTGCAAGCACCAACCAGAATGGATGCTTGTCTGGACCTGGTTTTAACAAACAACGTTGATCTTTTGACCAACATTCAAGTAGGTGAGCACTTGGGAAATAGTGATCACAATATAGTGTCCTTTGAAATAAACTCAAAAAAACAAAAGCACATGGGGAATACTAAAACAAATAATTTTAAAAAGGCCAATTTCAATAAGTTAAGGGAAGCTTTACAATATATTGACTGGCATAAACTCTTTAGTGAAAAGAACACTGAGGATAAATGGATCATCTTCCAACAAATATTAAAAAGGTACATTTCTCAGTATGTACCGTTGGAAAATAAATATAAAAGAAACAAATTAAAACCAATGTGGCTTAGTAGAGAAGTAAAACAAGAGATTACAACTAAGAGAAGGGCATTTAAAGCATTTAAATCGGACAAATCAGATGCATCTTATAAAAGATATAAGGATGCAAATAATGCGTGCAAAAAGGCAATTAGACTTGCTAAACTTCAAAATGAAATAATGATAGCTGAAGAGAGCAAAACCAACCCCAAAGCATTTTTAAGTACATAAATTCTAAAAAAAATCCAAAATGAAAGTGTAGGTACACTAAAAACTGAAACAGGGGTGTTAATTAATGAAGACCAGGAAAAGGCAGGAATTTTAAATAACTATTTCTCCTCCGTATATATTAAGGAAGAACCCATGGCAATAGATGTGCAAATGATTGCTACTAAAAACTTGCAGAATAATTGTAATTGGTTAACTCAAGACAAGGTGCTGCAGCAACCAAAGAAAGTTAATATAAACAAAGCTCCAGGGCCTGACGGTATCCATCCACGTGTACTTAAGGAACTAAGTGCAGAAATAAGTGAACCTCTGTTTTTAATCTTTCAAGATTCTTTTCTTTCAGGAAGTGTTCCAGAGGATTGGAGGAAGGCAGATGTGGTTCCTGTATTCAAAAAGGTTTCAAAATCCTTGCCTGGAAATTATAGACCTGTGAGCTTAACTTCTGTGGCTGGTAAAATATTTGAAAGGTTATTATGGGATAATATTCAAGAATTCCTTGAGAAGAACATGGTTATCAGCAAAAATCAGCATGGTTTTATGAAGCACCGGTCATGTCAAACTAACTTGATTGCGTTCTACGAAGAAGTAAGTAGAAGTATAGATCAAGGTGTTGCCGTGGATGTGATCTATTTGGATTTTGCCAAGGCATTTGATACAGTTCCACACAATAGATTAGTGTTCAAACTCAAGGAAATCGGTCTAGATGAAAATGCTTGTTCTTGGGTAGAACATTGGCTTAAAAACAGAGTACAAAGAGTTGTCATTAATGGTAAATTTTCAAGCTGGACAAAGGTGGCAAGTGGTGTCCCTCAGGGGTCTGTTCTGGGACCCTTCTATTTAACATGTTTATAAATGATCTTGAAGACCGCATTGAAAGTCATGTTTCAGTGTTTGCAGATGACACAAAACTTTGTAAAACAATACAATGTGAGCAAGATATTACTTTGCTGCAGAGGGATTTAGATAGACTGGGAGACTGGGCACTCAAATGGCAGATGAAATTTAATGTTGAAAAATGCAAAGTTATGCACTTCGGCGTAAAGAATACACAAGCAACGTATACCCTTAATGGAAGCGAATTAGGGATAACAACACATGAAAAGGACTTGGGAATTGTTATAGACAACAAACTATGCAACAATGTGCAATGTCAATCAGCAGTGGCCAAGGCCAGTAAGGTATTGTCATGCATGAAAAAAGGGCATTCATTCTCGGGACAAGAATATAATTTTGCCTCTTTATAAATCACTGGTAAGACCCCATATTGAATATGCTGTGCAATTTTGGGCACCTGTTCTAAAGAAGGATATTATGGCACTAGAAAAAGTGCAGAGGCGGGCTACAAAATTAATAAAAGGAATGGAACATATCGGCTATGAAGAAAGGTTAACAAATTTAAACCTATTTAGTTTAGAAAAACGTCGCCTGAGAGGGGATATGATAACATTATACAAATATATTCGGGGGCCAATACAAACCATTGTGTGGAAATCTATTCACAAACCGGACTTTACATAGGACAAGAGGCCATGAGTTTAGACTGGAAGAAAGAAGATTTCGTCTAAGGCAAAGGAAAGGTTTTTTTACTGTAAGAACAATCAGGATGTGGAATTCTCTGCCTGAGGAAGTGGTTTTATCAGAGTCCATACAGATGTTCAAACGGCTACTAGATGCATACTTGCAAAAACAGAATATTCAAGGATATAATCTTTCAATGTAGGGTAATAACTGCTTGATCCCAGGATAAATCTGACTGCCATTCTGGGGTCAAGAAGGAATTTTTTTCCTAGCCTGTTGCAAAATTGTGCTTCAAACTGTTTTTTTTTGCCTTCTTCAAATGTGAGGTAGGCTGAACTTGATGGACTCAAGTCTCTTTTCAGCTATGTAACTATGTAAGGTTTCAAATACGCCTTTTGAAACACCCTGGGGTGAAAAAATTCCAAAGTGGGGCATGGACCCAGCGTAAAAATTCTAACTTAAATGGCTGTGTCTCAAATGTGCCCCTTCAACATTGTCATATACCTGGTGAAGGTACATACGGGGGTAAATGTTTTTTGTCCCCCCTCCCTGGCCAGGCAACAAGCAGGGAGGGGGGACAAAAAAACATTTAAAAAAAATTAATGCAAATATTAAAATAATAATATAATATTAAAATAATATAATATTAAAATAATAATATTATTTTATTATTTTAATATTTGCATTATTTTTTTTAAAATGTTTTTTGTCCCCCCTCCCTGGCCAGGCAACAAGCAGGGAGGGGGGACAAAAAACATTTAAAAAAAAATAATGCAAATATTAAAATAATATAATATTAAAATAATATTATTATTATTTTAATATTTGCATTATTTAAAAAATAAAATAAATTTGTCCCCCCTCCCTGACCAGGCAACAAGCAGGGAGGGGGGACAATAATGCAAATATTGAAATAATAATATTATTAAAATAATAATTATATAATAATATAATAATAATATTAAAATAATATAATAAAATAAAAATAAAAATGCCCTCCCCTCATCCAGTTTACACACACTGCACAAACACACACACTACATTATATACACACACACACAACACACACACACACACACACACACTGCATTCATTATATATACACACACAAACACACACTCTGCATTCATTATATACACACACAAACACACACTCTGCATTCATTCTATACACACACTGTAAATAAATATTCAATTAATGTAATTTTATTGGGATCTAATTTAATTTAGAAATTTACCAGTAGCTGCTGCATTTCCCACCCTAGGCTTATACTCGAGTCAAGAAGTTTTCCCAGTTTTTTGTGGTAAAATTAGGTGCCTCGGCTTATACTCTAGTATATACGATAAATGGCTGTGTCCAATGTGCCCCTTCAATGTCCGCATATACCTGGCAAAGGTACATATGGGGTATTGCTGTGCTCAGACAACATAGCTGAGCAAGATAGGAAGTATTATATAGCTGTAGCACACATAAGGTTTGCAAAATATACAGTACAAACTCACTATGTGTGTCAAAAAAGCAGAAAAATGCTTATTATCAATACACTTGGTACAAGCTAGCGGAAAAATTATTTCACGCTAAGGTTCAAAAGATATATTTTGAAATACCCTGGGATGTCTTCTTTAAGAAATAGTATGCTTTTATGGGATAGTTGGAATATATAGCCTGCTTAAAAACTCCAAAGTGGGGTAACAACACAGCATAAAAATTCAAAGTTTGAAAAAACCTGCAATGGCTGTGCCTGAAATGTGCCCCTTCAACGTCCACATATACCTGGCAAAAGTACATTCGGGGGTATTGCTGTACTCAGACAACATAGCTGAGCAACATATAAGGTATTACAAAGCCGTAGCACAGATAAGGTTTGCAAAATATACAGTACAAATTCACTGTGTGTCAAAAAGAGAGAAAAAAAAAATGCTTATTACCACTACACTTGATACAAGCTAACGGAAAAATTATCCCACGCTAAGGTTCAAAATTTGCCTTTTGAAATACCCTCGGGCGTCTTCTTTAAGAAATAGTATGCCTTTTTGGGGTAGTTGGAAAAAGCATCCTGCTAACATATTTAAAAATAGAATACGGACCCATTAAAACTCTCCATGTAAATTCACACTTTAAAACCTGCACTTATTACGAATTTATGACAGTGGCACTTATCAAATGTAAGAAATACCCAGCGAAAATGCAGCATGTATGTAAAAAAGTGTTTAAGAAAATTCTCACGACAAAATTTGAAATAAATTGGTGAAAATTGGTTTCCCAAATACACATTACAAAAACCTTGTTATATGTGTATATGCCAAAATAGAGAAAAACACCATTTTACTCCAATATTTAGTAGAGATTGGCGATGAAATGGCTACGCAAAAAGTGTCAAACTAACCTTAGGTTAATAGCCTGTGATGTCTTCTTTATATAAATATATACTTTTATGTGGCAATTTTGTTCCCTGTAATGGGTGTTAAACTTCCAAGACAAACATACCAACTTCTAAAATTGTTTCACATTGAAATTTTATTTTAGACCTGTAACTTTCAAAATAAACTGAAATCCTACACATATTATGTACTTTGTAAATCAAGACACATAAATGAATTGATTTTGAATTACTTTTCCTACGCTTGACATATTATGCACACATTATTATTGCCAAACCTTGTGGGGGGAAAGCATTTTTTTGTTTTTTTCCACATTATTTGTAATAAATGAGAATTTATTTATGTATATGTCACATCAAATTAAAGCTCTTTTTGTTGTCTAAAAAATGGTATATAATATGTGTTTGTACAATAAATAAGAGAGATGCAAATTGCAGTTGAACACAAACAGCACAAATTGCAAAAATTGCTTGTGTCCTTAAGGGCATGTCCAGCTTCTGAAGGTGTGTCCTTAAGGGGTTAATTAGGGATAACAACACGCAAGAAGGATTTGGGAATTGTTATATACAACTGTGACAAAGTGCCCTTCTCCACTTGGTCCTGGAGAGGCCTGCTTGCCAGCCTCCTCCCCTGTGACTATGACTCTTTCATGTATTTGGCTTTAAAGCCCCTAGTCTACCTTCAGACAGACTATTTATGGCTGCTTTATTTATCTTATGTTTTAGTCACCCTGTACCCATGATAGGTGCAGGGTGTGTGTAATGTAATTGTTTATAGTGTATGTGTGTACTGTGAAATGTATTGCCTTCTCTCCTGTACTGCTGAGGTTTGCTACCAACTAGGTGGGTTTGGCTATGGAGCTTGTCTAGTGCCCTCTGTTGGTAGCAACAGCAATATGCACTACCTGAATTGCAAGACTGGTTCATTTGCATATTCGGGTAGATTTGCATATTGCTAATTCTGCAGGCAGGTGAGATATTTTCGGTTAAATATTGTCTCCCCCACCCCTTTAAAAATATGCCATTGTGTTATAATAAGTCACTGTATGTTGCCTGTTATCAGTTGGCTGTTTGTAATTTTATTGAGTTTTCACCGCATAGTTAATGTAATGCCCATATGGGCTAGTCCCAAGTAAAATAAAGGTTTAGACAGTTCTTCTTGATCCCTCTAAATGTAGTATTGTCTCGTTATTGGAGGGAGCTGTTATAATCACACTGGGGATGGCTATGCTCTGCATGCTCCCCTGAGCTTGAATCACTTAGCTATTTTAAGAGCTTGTTCCTGACACGCTCTCCTTGGAGGAGGGGTCTTCACCACACAGTCCTGGATGCTGGAGGTTCATACAGGGTGGAAGGAATAGTTCTTTCCCACACAGTCCTGGAGGACAGAAGCTGATCCGGGGTGGAAGGAAGACGGCGAGACTCCAGTCAAGATCATAGGCGTGCGCATGGGGTGTGCCGGGTATGCCTGGGCACACCCTAATCCCCGCGGCACGCCTATGTATATTGAGACCGGCAGGGGAGATCTCAGGATCTCTCCTGTCGGCTCATGCAGAGCCGGCGCTCGGATTGCGCCGGCTCTGTGCTCAGCCTCCCTCCCCACTGACCCACAGGCAGGGAGGGAGGCAGGAGAGGACCCGGCGGAGCTTATGCCGCAGCTCCGCCGGGTTCCTCTCGCGAGATATGAGCGTTGCCACGGCAACGCTCAAATCTCGCGAGAGTGAACTCTAGCCCCACAGGGGGCTAGAGTTCACTCTCCACTGGACCATGAGGGAAAGCAGCAGCACGATCCCCTCCTCCACTGGACCACCAGGACCACGATCCCCCCTCCCTACAAAAGGTAAGAAGGGAGGGGGGATAGCAATTAATGTACCCCCACCTCCACCCCCCCAATCACCCACCCACATACAGCACACACACATACAGCACACACAGACATACAACACCCACACACATATAGCACCCAGACAGCACCCACAGACATACAGCACCCACAGACATACAGCACCCACACACATACAGCACCCACAGACATACACAGCACCCACACACATACAGCACCCATACACAGCACCCACAGACATACAGCACCCACACACATACAGCACCCACAGACATACAACACCAACACACATACAGCACCAACACACATACAGCACCCACAGACACACACACAGCACCCACACACATACAGCACCCACATACAGCACCCACACACATACACAGCACCCACACACATTCAGCACCCACAGACATACAGCACCCACAGACATACACAGCACCCACAGACATACACAGCACCCACAGACATACACAGCACCCACAGACATACACAGCACCAACACACATACAGCACCCACACACACATACAACACCCTCACAAACACACACAGCACCCTCACACACAGCACACAAACAGCTCCCTCACACACTCAGCACACTAACAGTACCCTCACAATCACAAACAGGACCCTAACAAACACACACACAGCACACTACCAGTACCCTCACCTACAAACAGCACCCTCACACACCGTACATTAACAGCACCCTTACAAGCGCACACACACACACACACACACAAACAGCACACTCACACACAGTACATTAACAGCATCCTCACAAGCACGCACACACAAACACCCTAAGCCACATAGCACACTACCAGCAACGTCCAACACATCACATCACACTAACGGCACCCTCACACAGCACACACACACACACAGCAGTGTGTGTATGTGTGTATATATGTGTATGTGTGTGTATATATATATATATATATATACATACATATATGTGGCGTGTGCTTGTGCTTTAGGGTGCACACCCTAATGCAATAGGCTGCGCACGCCTATGGTCAAGATACAGCGGTTGCGGAGTCTGCGGTGGCTGTGGTGTCTGCTGCAGTGTTTGGAGTCCTCAGGAAGCGCTAGGAGCATCCATCAACGGCGGGTACTCGGTCGGAGTACAGGGAGCTCCGTTACAACAACAAATTAGACCGCAATATGCAATGTCAATCTGCAGTTGCTAAGGTGAGATTTCTTATCTTTAGGATTGCCAACCAATGTTCCCTAAATCGTCTTTAGGGATTTCGTGGTTTGTCCCACATAGTGGAGACCACAAGTACAGGTAAGTAAATAAACTAGAAAAGTGGAATCACAGTTTATCCATAAATAAATCCACCCCCAATGTGGGTGGTATAGTATTTACAAATAAGACATCTGACCTGGCTGGATTTGAACTCACAGCTCCAGCCTCCCAGACAGGTTCTCTACCATGCTGTCTACAAGTGGGCTTCAATATCTGTCTGCATTATTCTGCTACCTGACTCCTTTGCTTGGATGGAGCAGTGCTGATCCACCTGCAGCCCCTTACCAATTAGGGTCAGCTGCTCCTAATCAGCAGGCTGTAAAAGCCAGCTTTGCCTGGCACCTGGTATTTGGGTTTTCCGCCCCTCTCCTGCCGGTCACTTCTTGTAATGTGGCTTGCTGGATCTTTGTTACTCTGCTGACTGATTTCCTGGACTCTGCCCTCTGCCTGCCTTACCGACTATGGTACCCTGCTCCCAGCCCTGACTTCTGCTTCTCGTCTGACCCTGCCTTTGGATTATCCCTCTTCTGTATTGTGCTTTGGTTTTTGCTTCTGTGTGCCCAGGGCCTGCGCGTCCATAAGGCGGCACAGGTGGCCGCCCACAGGGCGCACCGGCCCTGGGGCGCAAATGTCCGGGTGACCGGCAGGAGTGAAGCGCACAGCGCCCCTCTCCTGCCGGTCACTTCTTGTAACGTGGCCGAGCACCAACCTGCACTGCCGCGGACTGTGTGGAGGGGGCGGGGATATGAACGTCATATCCCTGCTCCCTCTGTAGCACACGGTGCGGCTGGTGCCCAGCAGGGGCGGAGCTACCACCGGCCCCCTTTTTGTCAGCATGGGAGGAAGTCCTCCCAAGAAGACTAGAGCAGCAGAAGGCTCCTCCCAGGGGGGCTGGGCAGGACCAGCTCCTCCAACTCCCAACTACCTCAGGCAGCACTTTGGATCCCAGGTAAGCCACCCTCCTGAACCTGTTGGTCAGTGTGTCTGTGTGTGTATCTATGTCTGTCAGTGTGTGTGTGTGTATCCATGTCTGTCAGTGTGTATGTATGTATATGTCTCTGTCCGTGTGTCTGTGTGTATCTAAATGTCTGTCAGTGTGTGTGTGTATCCATGTCTGTCAGTGTGTGTGTGTATGTCTGTCTGTTAGTGTGTCTTTGTGCGTTTGTGTATGTCTATCATTGTGTACAGGGGCGTACCTAGAGCATTTGGCACCCGGGGCGGATCCTGTGCTTGTCACCCACCCCAAAAAAAAAACCCTGTAAAAATTTTTAAAGGTTTTCTTTCTTTTTTTTTACAATTTGTAAACTTTGCAAAACCGCTGTCAGCCCCTCCTACAAAACCCTTGTCCTGCCCCACCCCTCCTACAAAACCTCTGTCCTGCCCCTTCTACAAAACCCCCGCAACCCCCTTCCACAAATCCCCTGCTTATCCACCCTTATAAAGACTCCTGTCCCAATACAAAACCCCCGCCCCCTTCTACAAAATCCCTGCAGCCCCACACACACATTTACAGGCAGACAGTCACACCTTGTCCCTATACACCTGCAAGGTGGGGTCAGTCACTACCTCAGCTGCAAATTCGTTAGGAGGGGCCCAGGGAACACAGTCAAGGGAAGGGGAAGGATCTCTTACCTGAACCTCCGGGAGTGTGTTGTAGTCCTGGGTGCGGGCCTGTTGTCGAGTAACCACAGGGTGAGCTTCTCCTGTGGTGGGTGTCTGGGGCTCAAAAGCAGATGTGAGCCTCCCCAGATCGTTCCCCAATAAAACCTCCGCCGGTAACTGCGGCATCAACCCCACCTCCACATGCCCTGCGCCCGCTCCCCAATGCAAATGCAAATAATATAAGATGCACATTCAGAGTGAAGTACAAAAAAGTATTTACTTTTTACTTTAATACTTTTTTGTACTTCACTCTGAATGTGCATCTTATATTCTTTTATATACATTTCTTTCCTGAGCACATACATGCCAATATATCTATGGAGATTTTAACCCAGACAGAGGATTTGGAATTCCTATTTTGAAAAGGAAAATATTCAAGGCTTGCAAACTTCAGCAAAAGTGTGAGTGGCCATTTGTGAATATAACTGCTACAATTTGTCATCATACACAGTTATACGCTATGTTGTTTTATTTATGATTGGTTCAGCAGATCATCCCCCTTTTTTTGCTTGTGTTGTGTGGAAGACAA